AGCTCGATGGTTTATGATTGGTCTTCTAAACATTGAAGATTAGTTCATGGGAAGGAGATAGATTGGATGCGTCCACCTTGGCATGGAAGTAGACATTGTCTCATATGCTAAAGACTAGATTGGTGGAGTTGCAAAGAAATAAATTCTTGAAGCAAATACTTTATAGCCTGAATGCCTTTGTTAAAATTGTTGCACAAATTTAAAAATCATGTTTATCTCTTTCTATCCATACATATTATCCATGCCCTGGCCTTCTTTTCCTTGTTTAGATTGGGAGGCTGATTGGTTATGATGCTTTATCTCAGTTAATATAATTGCTTGATTTAACTGAAATATCTTGACAAATCTGAAAAAAAAAAAAATGAAAGTTGTGGAGAAAAGCAAAAGCTTGATTCAATGGTCATGGTGCTTATCCTCTCTTGCAATGATTCGAGAATTTTCCCAGTGAACTAGAGATGCTCTCAAGTCATTGAACTTTATGCAAAGCATGTAATCAAGCCTATCGATAAATGTGCAACATGAAGGACACTGGACTCTTGCCAAATATGTTCAGGGAAGTTTCTTAACCTCTCTTCATTTTACATTATCTCTTATGTGAAAGTTGTCTCACTTGTATCTGTTTCATTGTTACAGATCATTCAAACATTACCTTCATCCGGCCCCTTGGTCGCATTTACCCTCATTCGGCCTTGTTGCCCCCTCGGTCATTTGACCGTTACCTACTCGATCATTCGATCATTACTCGTTCGGTCGTCCGATTGTTACTCATTCGGTTATCCGATCGTTTTCCCCTCAGTCATTTGACCGTTACCTATTCGATCATTTGATCATTACTCGTTCGGTCATCCGATCGTTGCCCACTCGGTCATTCGACCGTTACCTACTCGATCATTCGATCGTTACTCGTTCTATCATCTGATCGTTACTTGCTCAGTTATCCGATCATTTTCCCCTCGGTCATTTGACCGTTACCTATTCGATCATTTGATCGTTACTCGTTCGGTCATCCGATCGTTGCCCCCTCGGTCATTCGACCGTTACCTACTCGATCATTCGATCGTTACTCATTCGGTCATCCGATCGTTTTCCCCTCGGTCATTTGACCTTACCTACTCGATCATTTGATCGTTACCCGTTTGGTTGCCCGATCGTTACCCCCTTGGTCATTCGACCGTTACCTACTCGATCATTCAATCGTTACTCGTTTGGTCATCCGATCATTTTCCCCTCAATCATTCGACTATTACCTACTCGATCATTCGATCGTTACCCGTCCGGTCGCCCGATAGTTACCGCCTCGGTCATTCGACCATTATCTACTCGATCATTCGATCGCTACTCGGTTATTTAACCGTTATTGCTCAAGCTTGCTCGGTCGTTTGACTGTAGCTATCCATCTTGCTCGGTCGTTTGACCGTAGCTACTAACCTATTCGATCATTCGATCGCTATTTGTTCGGTTATCCGATCGCTACTCGTTCGGTTATCTGATCGTTATCCTCTCGGTGATTCGACTGTTACTTGCTCGATCATTTGATCATTACTCATTCGGTTACCCGATCATTACTCGTTCGGTTATCCAATCGTTATCCCCTCGGTCATTCGACCGTTACCTGTTCGATCATTTGATCGTTACTCGTTCGGTTACCCGATCGTTACTCATTCGGTTATTCGATCGCTACCCCCTCGGTCATTCAACTGTTACCTGCTCGATCATTCGATCGTTACCCACCATTACCTGCTTGATCATTTGATTGTTACTCGTTCGGTCCTCCGATCGTTACCCCCTCAGTCATTCGACCGTTACCTATTCGATCATTTGATCGTTACTCGTTCGGTGCTCTGATTGTTACCCCCTCGATCATTCGACCGCTACCTATTCGATCATTCGATCGTTACTCATTCGGTTAATCCGATTATTACGGTTTCTTAACTATTTTTACTTTTCTCGTTCGGTTAATCCGATCGTTGCTTTTCTAACCGTTTTATCTCATTTGTTTAGTTAATTCGATCGTTGCGGCTTTTTAGTCGTTTTCTCTTTCCGTTAATCCGATTGTTGCGGTTTTCTAATCGTCTTCTCTCATTCGTTCGGTCAATCTGATCATTGCGACTTTTTAGTCGTTTTCTCTCATTCGTTCTGTTAATCCGATCGTTGCGGTTTTCTAGCCGTTTTATCTCATTTGTTCAGTTAATCCGATCGTTGCGGTTTTCTAACCATTTTATCTCATTCATTCGGTTAATCCGATCGTTGCGGCTTTTTAGTCATTTTCTCTCATTCGTTCAATTAATCTGATTGTTACGGTTTTCTAACCGTCTTCTCTCATTCGTTCGGTCAATCCGATCGTTGCGGCTTTTTAGTCGTTTTATCTCATTCGTTCGGTCAATCCGATCGTTGCGGCTTTTTAGTCGTTTTATCTCATTCGTTCGGTTAATCCGATCATTGCGGCTTTCTAGTCATTTTTTCTCATTCGTTCGATTAATCTGATCGTTGCGATTTTCTAACCGTCTTCTCCCATTCGTTCGATCAATCCGATCGTTGCAGCTTTTTAGTCGTTTTCTCTCATTCTTTCAGTTAATCCGATCGTTGCGGTTTTCTAACCGTTTTATCTTATTCGTTCGGTTAATCCAATCGTTGTGACTTTTTAGTCGTTTTATCTCATTCGTTCGGTTAATCCGATCATTGCGACTTTTTAGTCGTTTTCTCTCATTCGTTCGGTTAATCTGATCGTTATGGTTTTCTAACCGTCTTCTCTCATTCGTTCGGCCAATCCGATCGTTGCGGCTTTTTAGTCGTTTTCTCTCATTCGTTCGGTCAATCCGATCGTTGCAGCTTTTTAGTCGTTTTATCTCATTCGTTCGATCAATCCGATCATTGCGACTTTTTAGTCGTTTTGTCTCATTTGTTCGATCAATCCGATCGTTGCGACTCTTTAGTCGTTTTATCTCATTTGTTCGATTAATCCGATCGTTGCGGGTTTTTAACCGTTTTATCTCATTCGTTCTGTCAATCCGATCGTTGCGGCTTTTTAGTCGTTTTATCTCATTCGTTTGGTTAATCCGATCGTTATTCGTTCGGTTAATCCGATCATTATTCGTTCGGTCAATCCGATCATTGCGCCTTTTTAGTCGTTTTATCTCATTCATTCGGTTCATCCGATCGTTGTGGTTTTCTAACCGTCTTCTCTCATTCGTTCAGCAATCCGATCGTTGCGACGTTTTAGTCATTTTATCTCATCCATTCTGTCAATCCGATCGTTGCGGCTTTTTAGTCGTTTTATCTCATTCGTTCGGT